CCACAAGTAAAAAAAAATATTAATATGATCATTTTTTGGTCAAAAATGATTTTACGAGTCAATCCAAATCCAACTCATTTATATATATTTATATTTTAAATAAATCAATATTAATAATTTTTTTAATATAATTTAGGTCAATGTTGAAAAATGTATGAGAGCAATTTCTATTAGTGGTCTTGAAATATAGCAATTCTTTAGAAGTTCAAAGTTCAAGGTAAAGCTCCGTTTGGGACGGTTTTATTACTATTTCTTAAATCAAATTTTTAGTAAAAATTAAAAATTTTGTACTAAAATGCTACTTTAAGAAAAAGTAAAAAAGTCATCCCAAACGAAACGTGTTCTTGGAGACCTTTTCCTTGTGAATTCTCCTCTCTAAAAAACTTCATGTATTAGGATTCGTTTGGGATAGCTTTCGTATTTTTTTCTAAAACAGCTTCCTAGTCAAAATTTTTTGCACTGGAAAATTATTTTAGAAATCAACAAAAAAGTTGTCCTAAACAAAGCCTTAGGCGACTTCAATATACTCCAAGGCAAGCTGATAAGTGACTTGAGGAGGAAAAATTATTCCGTCAGGTTACCTGACTTAGAGCTATATCAGGTAGCCTATAATATGTCGACACGTGCACTTACTCTTTACCGTGCGGCCCGACGACCCGACCCGGAACGGACCCGGGAGTTTTCGTAGCTCGGCATTGCTAGGTATTGGTCGATTTTGCTCGACAAAAATGAAAAATACTATTATGTGAATTGCAATACCGAGTTCAATACTGAGCAATACCAAGCAATACCGAGCAATACGGAGTTCTTTTAGGTATTACTCGGTATTGGTCTTCACATAGCGGTATTTCTCGTTATTGCCAAACGAGAAATACCGAGCAATACGCGAACATAGTAATCCCGGATTCGGTCTGAGTCGGGTCGTCGGGCCGCGCGGTAAAGAGTAAGTTCACGTGGCGACATATTATAGGCTACCTGATGTAGCTCTACGTCAGGTAACCTGACGGCAAAATCAGAGTCAGCATGCTAAACCCCTGCTAAGTATCCACTCTCATATAGACAAGCATGTCAGCAACTTTATCATCTTGTCCTTGATTAAACTAATAATACCAAACATTTTAACAACTATAAATCAAAATGAGCTATAAATGCCAAACAATTTTGAAGGAATCCATGGAAGATGCAAAAGAAAATATCTTATTGAATAAAAGTATTCGCTCTTCTGTTAAATTTTTTTGCAGCCAATCTAACTTTGAAACATTCAATCGTTCAATTAGAGTCGTTCTTAGCCTTGAAAACCCAATTACATCTAACAGCCATATAACATGCAGAAGTTTAACAATGTCCCATACATTACTATAAGATTGATAGAATTTCATCTTTAATGGAGCTAAACCGCATATAAGACTAAGAATTAGATATAGCTTCACAATATGTCACTATGTCAATAACTTATCCACGATCAAAATCACTCACCCAAATAAACAAGATAATAATATGAAACAGCAGAACTTTGCCTGTGGATCTTCTCAGTGGAAAATCAGTTATTGTTGGAGGATTATCTATATAAATTTCATCTTCCACATTATGATGATACCCAAGAACTAATGGTACTGTAGGATGTTATTTTTATGTGGAATTTGATTGTGTTGATTAATCAGATTGTTCCGTTACCTCGGGCCTCAGTTCAAATTATCGTGCTTGTTGGGGGGTGCGGTTTTGCGATTTTTTTTTTTTTTCATATGAAGTTTTGGCATTGTGTACCCGAGCACCCCGTCGCAGTGTATCCGCACACCCCGGCGCTGTGTACCCGAACTCTCTAGCACTGTGTTTCCAAGCACCACAATGTTGTGTGACGCCATAGCATTGTCGGTTGGAATATCGCAGCATCATGATGACAGAGGCTTGAGTGCCGCAGCGCTGCAAGGCGAACTATACAATTTTCTTTCTCATGTTTTCAAAGGGTTGCGTCCCTTAGTGTTATTAACTTGACTTTCTCTTGTGTTTTGAGTGTGAGAAGAATGTAAGAGAGAAAAGAAGCAAGGAGAAAGTGAGAGAGAAAAGAGATATGTACTTATTTATCCCCATTTTCATAGTGAATTTCTTGGTGTGATGTGGCTATGTGGGTTTTTTCCCGATTTTAATTTTTTCCATGTTAAATCCTGATGTTTTTTATTTTACACTACTTTTCTATTTTCTTTATCTGTTTAGTTGTTGCGTTTAACACTGCATCCCCAACATAGAAATCGGTAAAACAATCTATTTTGTAATTGATGAAGAAATTTTAACTGTCTCAAATTGTTCATTAGGAATAACCTTTGTCTCAACATGCTCATTAGAAACTTCAATATGTTTACAATCCACATCACCAACATCCAATTCCAAAAAATTTTGTTTAGTACTTCACAATTTTAGGACCACAAATAGAGCATCAGAACCTTGATCCTTTAGAATGCTGATCAGGATGACCAATAAAAAATTATTTGTTTTGATGGTTTTGCCCCATAAATGTTCAAGTAAGTTTGTCCCACTCATCGTAATATTATGATTTTAGGCAACACAATTTTTCTCAGGACTGCCAAGTATAGTATATTGTCAAGCATCCTCACACTCTTTTAAGTATTTTGCAAATGGTCCGTTATGTTTATCTTAATAATCAGCACCATAATTTGATCGATCCAACAATCTTGATGACTTTATTGTTAGTTTTGTGTGGAATCTTATTGTGTCGATCAATTGGATTATAGTGTCGACTCAAACCTCAATTCTGTCGGTCAAGTTAAAGGAGTAGCTCGCTTGGGGGTTGCAAAGGGGGCAGCTCGACGGTTTGGGGGTGAAAACTCGAAAAAAACAAAATTGATGTTCGTACAGTCGTATAGTGCTACGGTGTCATGTACTAAAGCGTTGCAGCACTGTACACTCGAGTGTTGTGGTGTTGTAGAATGTAGCACAACGGTGCTACAATTTTGACTTAGAGGTAGACAGTGGAGAGTTGCGGCGCCCCTGAGCCAACGTCGCAACGCTGCAAGTCACGTTGAGAGTTTTCTTTCTCGTTTTTCATACTTAACTTGAAGGGTTGTGTACCTTGGTGATATAGAAGTATGTCTCTTTGTTAGTTTTGATCAACGTTTTGAAAACCGGACCGGACCGGCCGGTTCAACCGGTTGAACCGGCACCCGGCCGGCTAGCCGGTTCGGTTTCCCAATGAAACCGGGATAACAAAGGACCGGCGTTGAACCGGTCCGACCGGCGGTTGAACCGTGAACCCGGCGAACCGAAACCGGGAGAGAACCGGGCACTTGAGCTTAAACGCAAATTTCAGCCCTTTGATTGAAATCAGGTGGTATTTGAGGTATTACCGTATTAGTAAAACCTGTAAAACCAACGTGAGTGTAAACCTAGTTTCGTATTCTACCTCCCATAACTCCCGAAGCCCGTCTCCTCAGATTTTCTCCGTTCGTCACTGCAGCTCCTCCTTCGTCGCTGCCAGCCCAGTTAATCGTCGTTGCCGTTCGACGCTGTAGCTGCTCCTTCATTGCTGGCGGCGTGAGTCTTCTTCTCTTCTTCCTGTAATTTTCACATTACCATAAGGGAAGAATCTCGTGATTTCCGCTGCTTGGCTAATGGAAATTTTTATTTTTTTTAAATGCTAAAAATTTCAGCATCAAAGTAATATAATATGCCCTAGTTTTTTACTTAAAAAAACTTCAGCATCAAAGCAATTTGAGAATGAGGAGACCAAAAATTCTACTGCAATCCTTGTTGGGAGTTTCGTTTGATTTTAGATGTTTTTTTTTTATTTTCTTGTTAACCATAGCTAATTCCACTTCACAGTTTGATAAAGGATTCTTAGGCGGCTTGCTCAGAACCGTGAAAGGTACTGTGATCTCCTCATCTCTTTCTTCGTCATCATCTTCCTTCAATTGTTGTGGTGGTTTTTTTTAGATATACGTGCTTATCTTATTTATGTAGTTACTGTATTTCAACTATCAATGGATTTTTCATTAACCTTTCTACTTATTTCATCCTACTTGTACGCCATGTCTACTATCAAACTCAATTAAGAAGTCTATCATTGGCAGTCGTCAAGACTAGTGTCATATGCTAGATGCTGCAGTTTGCTATTTGCTTTTCTTTGTTATTGATGCGTTAGAATATTTGCATTTTTTACAATCTTAGATTAATTATAGCAGTACTTCATCTTTGTCATGCCTAGGTTGTGCATAGTTCCTCTTAAAATGTTTATCTTGATTAGGTGGAGCAAGGTTAGGTTTAGAGTGAATGTATTAGAAGAAATTTTCTCTTTTTTTTTATTTTTAATAATATTATTATTTATTACGTCATCCGGTTCGACCCCGGTCGAACCTTGACCTCTCCTTCAACCGGTTCGTTGTCCGGTCCGGTTTTCAAAATCTTTATATATATATATATTTATGACATGAAAAATATTGAATTACTTTTGTTAATTGAATTTTAGTAGCTTTGGTTTTCTTGGTTGATGGTTGAGTTGTTAAAGTATAGCTTTAGAGCTTCAATCCTTCCATTAGATTTTAGGGTGTCATAGAGTGACATCAGAGCAACGGTTTAAAAGGATTGGAAATGTAAATAGGGCTATAAGAAATGATTTGTATCAATAAGAGAAAGGAGTTTGGGGCTTAGTTCAAAAAAAAAAAATTGTTAGTCTATGATGAGTCTGTGTATAATTTAACTATTTTCTTCTTCGTATAGATAAAGTGTTGTTGCATCATGAATCCCCAAGAGCAAGAGGCACCTGATGGACAGAGTTCCAATCAAGCTGCAACTGTTCAAAGCACTATAGGGGCAATGACATCTGACTTCTATAATGCAATTTGTCGGGCTAGTAGCCAAGCTAATGATTGAGGCTAAGTATAGGATGGCAAGAGTTAAGGGAGACAAGGTTGACAAGCACCTGCATTTATTTTTTGAGATTGAAGCCACCATATTTCCAGGGTGCACTAGAGTATCAGGCAGCTAAGGAATTGCTAATGAGGATTGAAAAGTCATTTAATAGATGCAATATCCAGAAGGCAGGAAGGTTCCGTTAGTTGTATTTCTATTAAATGGAGAAACATAATGTTGGTGGATAGGCTAGCATAAGGAGAGATTCTAGGGTAGACCTAATATAGAGATTTCTTGGGAAGAGTTAGCGCAAACATCTGGAAGTTAGTGTGTGCTGTCATCTGCCAACAATAAATGCAGGGGTCCTTTCTAAGGTTGGTCTAAGAGAGCAAGATGGTGATGCAGTACGAGATAGATTTTAAAGCTCTTGCCAGATATGCTCCCCACCAGTTAGTCAACATCCCTGAAAAAAGTTGTTATCATTTTCTGCAAGGTTTGAGAGACAGTTTGAGGCAACCCCTAATTATGTTTCACATCTGAGATTTCTCTAAGCTTGTGGATAGAGATAGAATGGTGGAAAATGATCTGATGTCCACCTGACATCAGATCAAAGGTTTGGGATGTTAGAGAACTAATGATGGTATTTTTATGGATTTTGGATCAGTGATTGAGAAGTTATGAAACCTTTATTTTGGTTGTTCACAACAGGAAATTGTTTCTATATATTAGAACTTTGGTTATGGTATACTAGGATTTTTAGGGAGCTCATGTCTTGAAAGGTTATGAGAGATGTGGAAGCTAAGCTTGAGACTAAATAGAGGAGATGAAAATTATGTCAGAAAAGAAGAGAAAAAAATGGTGATAAGAGATAACTAAGGACTCACCAAAACCTAGAGGATCAGTCATCAAGCTTCACCAATGAGTAAATAGTCACCAAGCTTTTCTATACGAAATTTGCATACACAAACTAATTTTTTTTCAATGATTCAAAAGTACAAAGCAATGTTATATTTATAGATCTTCCAAGCCTAGATAATTTTGGAAAGCCTTAAAAGACAATAAAATAATATTACATTAATTGATGAGATGTCCTAATACTAAAAGAAAGAAAATAAAAGAAATAAAATTAAATTAAAAGCTTCTAAATACATGAAAATTCAAATTGGCCACAAATGATAAGTAAAGTGGTCTTGAAAGAAATCAATTTATGAAGTTTTTTATCTTTTTTCACTTGTATAGCCCACCTACCGATCAAGGTGCCTTAAATTAAGCTTTTAAATTATTCTATCATGATTTTAAAAGTATTATAATCCATGTACATAAGTTTGCATGATGATTGACCCAAATTCTAATGATGAGTCTTAGTTTGTGAACTTTTCATTGGCCTTTGTCTTGGTAATGCATCATCTAGTCTCCTTGGAATTCACTCCAAAACAAGTAAGAATCACAATAATCTTTCATTTCAGTCCAAAGGAATACTTATACAACTAAATTCTAATGAAGAGACACCCCTTCATTCAAACATAAAATAAGAGGAAAGGGGGAAAGAGAGGGGCCAGAATAGAGGGAAATCTATGAGGCAATCCTGTACGTCGGGGCCAACAGAATGTCTGTCCAAAATCTCTCTCTCTCTCTCTCTCTCTCTCTCTCTCTCTCTCTCTCTCTCTCTCTCTCTATCTATCTATATATATATATATATATATATATCTTGCTGCAGGGTCAGTTCAACATTTTCCTGCGTAAGGAATCAATTGACACTCTTGTAAATCCAAAATCACTAAAGAAATCTTTGAATCTTTACCCTTGGGCTCAATCTGAAACTGTGGTAAGGACCTTACTGTAAGGCTTAGTACTTTTCACCGGCAACACTGAATCAAACAGCACACATTTATTCTTCTTCATTCTATCCAAAAATAAGGCTAGATCCATCACCCTCTAACTCAGACAAGCTCGATCCTGTTTCCGTAAAAATTCTGAATTCGACTTTCAAATTCTATATGAAACGTCAGCGACGCGTCTCCATTGAATCTCAAGAGAATTGCAAGCGTAATACCAGCGACTACAGGCTGGTTGATTTTCTGTAAGGATGACCCAAATCAGATTTTGAAGTCCAGTATTCCACAAGAAAGAACCTCCTCCCGGGTTCCACGCAAACCGAAATCATAGAATAAGTAGGAAAAAAAATGAAACCAAAATAGGCAGTAATTTGTAAGAAAAGACCGTTAATAGAACAACAGTTACGCACCTGGCGCTTGGAACTTTACTGGGGATATCGGGCTGAAACTCCATCGGCAAACCAAGAAACCCATCGAACCTATCGAACGTGACATGGGCGACGTGCTGAACATCAGTCGGCCAGCCGATGTCCATGGAAGCTCCAGCACCTTCTTCTCCGGCACCGAGGCTGCACATCACTAAAGACTTCCGCAGCGCTGCCGCCACAGTCGCCAGTGCGGAGAACTGCTGAACCCGTCCCTCCCTCCCGTCCCTTCCGCTCTCCTCCACCGCCGGCGCGATCAGCGGAGACAAGATGACATGCTTGCCACACTCGCTCTCAACCACTTCGTCCTCTGCCTCCTCGACGGAAGCCCGCTGGGAAAGCGGAGAGGATGAGAGTAAGCCCAGGTGGAACTGGAATCTAGCCATGTGGGGAGCTCAGCTAGCCAAAACAGGGTTAGGGTTTCACATGGCGGGACAAAGAAGCTTAAGGAGATTTCTTGGAGCGGGAATGCAGAGCCGATCAGAGGGGAAGAAGCAGACAAGATAGCGGATTCTGATCAAAGCTTGTGGTCGAAGAGGCATCCAGGAATTGGAAGCTTGATGGAAGACATTATCTCCCCAAACTTGTTTAAATTACCTCTCCAAAGCAACAAAAAAATATATATTCTTGGCGGCAAATGAGAGAAGCTGGCAACTGGCGAGGAAGGGATTCTTCTTCAAAGAAACACTTTCTTCCTTTTTGCATTTGTCTCCCCATCTTTTTATATATATATATCTAGCATACTTTACGAGGATAATTATATAATTTTATAATTATAAAATTCAAAATTCTTGATTTGTTCGAGCAATTTGATTTGCAGCGCTGTGAGCTGCCTTTATACTTATAGAATTGCCTGGTTCTAGAACGGAGTCGGGTCCACCACTGTAACGACCGTTTTTTCCGGTCGAGCTCGGCCGGATTAGACCGAAGATATATTCAGGGATATTTTAAATTTGATTGCTTCAGTTAAAATTTATGTTCTAAAATAATGATAACTTTTTGTTTACTTACTACCAATTTACATATAATTAGAAGCTTATAAGCCTCTTGAAGAATAATTTATTTGTAATTCCAGCCATTTTGAAATCGGGTGTAACTACGCACGTCTGCGTCCGGGTCGGCTTGGTTTTGGCCCGGATCAGCATCAGCAACGGGAGATGGCACATGATGAAGACTTGATGGATTCGGAGGAGGAGGTATCATATAATGTGAGTTAGAATAGATAATGATCCTTCTAATTCTTACATCTTATACTTGTTTTAATATTATTATTGAATCATAGATTAACCTTAAAAAAAACTTATTTGCATTAGTGCCAAGTTTCTAAAATAAATTCAAATATTCAATTCAAAGTATCATTGAGGCTCGTGTCAAAATCAATCAATCAAATCATGTCATTAGATCTACATTTGAGGCATATAGTTCATTTATCTCTCATTATTTACTAGAGGCATGATTGCATAGAAAGTGACTTAAAGGTGATATGGCTTGAGTTTTATCCTTAGATTGACCAAAGGACCAAAATGCACTCAAATGAGGATTATTGTGCTTCAGGCCAAGCCTTAAAGATTATATGGCTCATTTATCAATCTTTGGTAATGTGCTAAAGTATCTGTAAGCATCTACCACTGTACATGCAAAGCCACCTGGTTTGAGTCTAAGATCACTAGATTGGCTACAGGTCTCTAGTACATGAACTTATTAGAAGAAATTCGATCAAATCATCTCATCAAAGGTAGTCAACTTCAGGGCCAATAAGAAGAAACCACTATGCAGTTGGCCAATCCTCTTGTATAGCATAGTAATATTTTAAGAGCGAACTCACATTAACTATAGTGTTAACAAACAATCTTCCTTATTTATATGTAAATGTTGCACTTATTACGTATCTCTATATTAGTAGTATCATTTTCATATATAAAATGCAATGATTTATAAAATGTAGGTCATTCTTTAAAATATGCATCAACTTCTAAAAATCATAAATATCAATATAATTACTTGGTGTAACTCATAAATATCACTGTGAAAATGTCCATAATGATAATATCTATCACATATCCAAAGTTATGTGGTAAAAGTTCACTAAAATAGAAAATATTATTTTTTTTTATCATTTTTTGGAGAGAGAAAAATATATTGCTCAAAATTATTAAAAATAGATGCATAGTTGAGGTCACTTATTACGAGCAAATCAACTTTCACAATATGAATGATGGATGAAAAAGCTTTGGAGAGATTTCTCTCTGTTCTCCTTCTCCTTTCCCACCCAAGCAACGAGAATGAGAGGAGGGGGATGGTGGGTGACATGGATATTTACATTAAAATATATAGAAGTTTATTTTTAGTATCTGGCATCGTGATTCCTAATACCCAGTGCCGCAGCACTCCCTTTGGGAGCCCACAACATCACCCCAGACGCCGTCATGCCAAATTAATTTCCAAAATTCCAGAGAGCTCAATGCTAAGGTGCCGCTTTACCTAACACCATAGTGCTCCCACAGGCAAATTTTTTTGGGAAGTTTGGAAATTCATATTATTCAAAATAGGATTATTACATGGTATTAGAGTAGGGCCATGCAAATCATCTTTTGACTTATCATAACTTTCTAACCCATTTTGGGAACTTTCTTAGCCCATGTTATTGAGGCTTCCTCATTAAAGAAAAGCGATAATAATTTAATTTCTCTATAGATTTTCATGTGGGTGCTGCCCATCCAATCATATTTTGGCTTCACTTGCAACACATATATTAATGGCTTGACATATTTTTTGCATACTAGGTATGACCTTTATACTATCTTAATCAAATATTTGAGAGCATGTGATCATTTTGCCTCTTCCCAAATTACTCTATTCTTGATATATTAAAACTTTTTCATAAGCTAGGTACTAACTAATCTAGGAGATGATTGAGTTGGACAAGGTTTTGACAGGTTTTTATTAAGCAGATACTTGAGCAAGTCATATGGGCAAATATATTTCTTTTTTTTTTTTTGTGGAGTTAATATTCTCATTAGTTATAATTGGTATACATTTTACCCATCATCAATAAACGTGAAGTGAGCAGGCTTTATTTTTCTGTGAATGATGACAAATCATGTTAGAACATAGTTGGTAGATTAGTTAGTAGGTTCCTCAGACATGAGTAGCTAAGTACCCAACCAACAAGCCATCAATTAGGGATAAGTGTGTTGGGTTTGATGTGAGTCTCAAATTGATTCTTAGGATGATCCTCTCGAATAGGTGCAATCATTTTCTTTAAGGGATCACATAACGAGTAGTCTTCAAAGGATTGCTTTATAAGAAGGTTGACACTTTAGCTAACAAGTTAGTAGAGTAATATTGTAGGAATCACTTATAGATTGATTAACTTGTAAGAACTAGGATAATAACCTTTAACATAAGTTGTTGGGGATTAAGTTAATTAAGTCCTTTAGTATACTGTAATTGGGATGTAAATTTTGTGTAATTTAGTTCCTAGTATGGAGATTCCTCAGAGATTTAATTTTGGATTTAATGGCTAAGTTCAAGGGAGTTTACTAGGGCAATCATGCCTTACTTGAGTTGGGGTAATGTTGGGGTGGAGCAACCCATTAGAGAATAGCATAATTTAATTAGCTAATTAGATATCTTTTAGAGCAGAAGCATATTGCATGCTCTATTTAATCAATCTGAGTCCTCGACAAGTTAGTTGTGCTCAATGAGGTATGCTCAGGTAGACTCTATTAGGAGTATGATTTGAAATTGTAAGGCATATAGAAGCAATTTTATGGCGGATCTAAAGATTTCAAAAATAATCCATGATCCACATTAACTGCTCTAATCATTTTGTGCGCAAACTTTTTCATTTCATGTATTAGTGCATCTTCATTAGTAATGACACAACTTGCCATTTGTATGTGCTTCTAACTCAAAACATTTGTAATAATATTAGTCTTATTAAACTTATACTAAATATTGAGATCTTAATGATTAATCAATTCTAACAATCTCCTATGTCTCATATTCAAATACTTTCGAGTTAAAATGTACTTCAAATTATTTTTATGATTACTGTATATCTCATGTCTTAGATCTTATTAGTTATGTGCCCAAATCTTCAACGCATACATAATCAAAATTAGCTCTAGCTTGAATAATTCTTCTCATGTGACTTCAACTATTTAGATGTATAGGCTATCAAAACATTTATCATTCTTTTTATTGAAGAATCATTAAATACTTAAAATACTTTTTCAAATGATATAATCAATATTAGTGTTGGTACAAAAAAACTCTTCAACTCATGATAATTATCTTGATATTATGTTCTCCACTCAAATTGTACTAATATTTTATGTCAATATTTGGTCGAAGGAATTATTATATGAGTGATACAACCCTCCAGAAAAGTGGTATGCCAAGATTCAAAATGAAGAAGGATGGTGTTATAAGATGGTTAGAGTACTTAGGGTTAGTGTAGGATTAGCATGGTGATGATGGTTAGTTATGGAAACTACTAAACCAACTATTTGTTCGTACCTCACTACACTCATCTTATATTTCTTATCAAATCTCCTATATGAAAAAAAATATCCTTATATTATCCTCTTTTTCTTTCAACAATGTGGCTAAGAATTTTGAAAGGGGATCAAAATTTTTCGCGGGCGCCATAATATAGCACGAGGTCATCACAAAGGCACGGTAGTGCAATACAAGGTCATCATAACATGGGCATGACAAATGCAGTTTAGGGTTGTCGACAGCTTTATGGATAATGTGAATACATTAATTTATATAGTAGCACTATACTCCAAATTTATTTGATTTGGGCAAAGTCGAAATTCATAAAAAAATGATCATTCTTGAGTATTGCAAATTTAATTGCAAAATAGTTTACATTCATTTTACTTCAAATCCAATATAAAAAATTAAAAAAAAAAATTGTTTATTGTTTTCATATTATTCCACTAATACATCATAATAAACCACTCCTTGAGCAAAAAAAAAAAATTCCTATCATACTAGAATCTCCCACGCACCAATGAAAGGCTGGCCATCATAAATACTCACATGGCATACTCACTAGGGACAAAATTACATACAGAATCCCTACATTTATTATATTATTATTTTTCTTCAATTTTTTACATCCAGACTTAGGACCAATATAATCAATATTAAAAATGATAAAACTTTGTTAGTGAATTAGTTTATTTTTTTCCTTCACAAAATGACTTCAATCATCAAATCACTCGATTTCTGCTAGAATTTGTTTAATATATTAACTAAATACGTGATATTAAATATATTAACTAAATACGTGATATTAAAAATCTCATTTAAAAAAAAATCATAAAATCTCTTTAAGATTGAATAAATAAAGGATTAAGCTAATATCAATCAAGAAAACAAATGTAAATAAATAGGAAATTAAATTGGGAGTGATTTGAATGGATGACCGATGTTAAATTTCTTGATCGTGGACTATTTATTGGGCATTTAAATGTCTTAGTGATATCATAATTTAGCGATCTTGGACTCGTTGGATTCGTCTTGTCTAGCCGCTCGATTCGACTATAAGCATGTTATGTTTGGAAACCATTTGGTAATCCAAGTTATCGTTTGAACATTCCAAATATGCTTCGGGTCTTTGATTTGGAGTCATTTGGGTTTGGATTGAGTTGAATTTGGTGTCGTTAGGTTTGTGTTTTTGAGACGTTCAGTTCGACTAT